GCCACTCGCATCCTAAGATTCAGTACTCTATTCACCAGCGTGCCCCCGCTTCTTCAGCAACATAGTGTACTAACAGTGTGTAATTTATTCAAACATACTCTGAGGATTCTTGTAATTAAGTGTTTTAACGCTTCAATAACAGTCAATGTCTTGCGAAAATTTCAATTGGTAAACGCTAGTCCCACCAGGTTCGCCTCTAACAACAATTTTTTACTACCACATACACGCACTAACTACGGCAAACACACTACTATATTTGCTGCCGTACATTTTTGGAAATCAATACCACTATGCACTAAACAATTGTCATTCAATACTTTTAAGTAGATTTGAAATGTCTGGTGTATCATTAATTGAAGTCCCTTTTGTTCAATATTCTACCGCCATCTTTTTCATAGCCATGTATAATTACTGAAGCTGTTTTATTACAATTTCAGCTGGAATTACAATACAAGTTTGCCTTGTCTTTATTTCTATCATAATAACTTGCCACTTTTTAGTTGCCATTTTTTTATAGTTATCAACATGTATATTTTTCACAGGGGCCTTGAGCCTTTAAGCCTTGTGCTATGGGACCTCCTTCTGTATATACTAACCCAAATTTGCTTACGTATTTTGCAACACATAAACATTTTTGACCGACTGACCTACATAGCCATAACACAGCAGACAAATTGACAGGACAGACGGAATGGCTTACCCTATGGAATTTTAATTTTAAAATATCGCCAGCAAAAAGCATTTCAATGGAAGAATTATGAACGTGCTAGAAATTTAAGTCATCGCGCAGTGGAAAGTACACCCAGCCCTCGAAAAGTTGAGGTGGGTTCGACTTTGATTTCAACTCTGATGACAGACAGTACTGTGGTGTAACTGTGCTTGCAGATGACCGAACAGACCAGATTTTGCTTGTTTTAGGCTAAGTGAAAGCAAAAACATCCAGCACTACGAACTGTATTTGCGATTTTTTTTTAATTCAAAGTAAATATGAAGTCTCCATGGGAGCAGGTTTGCTCTCGCAATTCATGAATTCATTTTACATTTTCAAATCTTAGCAAAGGTTATGTTGCACAACAGTTTCTTGTCAATCAGAATGAGAAATTATGTGTACTAAACGCCTTCAGAAAAAGTCCACAAAAGCGGATGCTGTCGTTATTGCAGTACTTGTCCACACTGAGCCGAGCAGCAGTACGCGGCAGCATCTCAGCTCCGGTCATTGATCCACATTGCTTTAGGGGCCAGCCTAGAAGTAGCAGAGGATAAAACAAAATGGTTTTAAATTTTGAGTTCAGCAACCTGCTGTCTAGCGACATTTATAGTTCTTTTTTAGGACAGTTGCATGCAAAGAAGTCTGCACATTTAAGTGTGTCAAAATCACAGAGCAAGTCACAGAGATGGCATGGCATCGAGTACAAAACTGACAGCTGTACAAGTGGTTAAATCAAAGACTGAACGCAAGGAATGGAAGCAGAGAGAGGTTTGTATTGTCAAAAAATTATGTGACGTAATCCCTTATTTAGTCTACTAGACTACTCTACCATTCAAGCTGAATACACATGAATCACAATAGTGAATAGGAGCGATACTCTAATAGCGAGATGAAAGACTGCCAAGTAGTTTCTAACTTTGTGTGGTTGGTTGCTGCAGCTACACGTTTAACAAAGCGAGAGTGAATTGGACGACAACAAAGAAAGAAGCACCAGCCATCGTAAAGGAACCTAGAAGCTTCCACGAAAGACGGTGGTGCAGTATCTGTATTGGGGATCCCACTTGCTGATGTGTAAAACAGTAAATGCTGTCAAGCTTTGAGAAGAAACTGAAGCTCTAAAATTGACACAAGCAGGATTGATCACAGTGCCATTCATACTAATTAAAAATGTTCAATCTCTATCATAACTGCTGTCATTTTGGTGGTCATGACGGCATCCAGTGGACATACATGAAGCTAACCAAGCAGTTCACATGATCTGGCATAAACAAAGAAACAACAAGATAATCATATTATGAGTGCCAGATTAATAAAGTAAAGTTTAGGCAGCTGACTCAACATATGATATCACAACACTTTTCTGCACCGTGGGAGGTCACTCACATGGACTTAGAAGAACTTGATAAAAAAAATCTAAAGGTTATGGCTTGTAAATGGTTGGTGGCAGCAAATGCAGAAAAGGCCATACCAACAATCTGATTTCCTTTCTAAACTAAAAGATTAACAAAAAGTCAGTATTAATGAGACAGTGAACCAGATTCCCAATAAACGGGCAAACCAACAGCGAATCGCGCTCAGGTTTACTGCTCCATGTCATTCAGCTGTTAATGGGCTAGTGAAGCCAGCTAATTAAGACATAATGTAATACTTAAGCATGTGTCCAGACTTCCCAGAAGGATGGAAGAGTTGCCTTTAAATGATGTAGCTCATCGTGCACAGCCCTAAAAAGCATCTCTTGGGTGCACACTTCTTATGCATTTTTACATATTGCAGTCTCAATGAAGGTATTGCAGGAGTGGGGGAAAAAACAAGAACAAAAATAAACATTCATGAAGGGATTTTTGACTGCACCTGCAAAGCAACATATTTACCAGCCAACGTGGCTGTGAGTTGAAATGATGATCAGCCTGACAGAAGAGAGAACTAAAGAGGGTGAAGCTAAGTACAGAAAGAGAGTGAAAAGGAACTTCGACAAAAAACAGAATACAGCTGCACCAAGAATTGTGGTTCGGGACTTGGTGCTAGCGATGAAAGAATTGCTAAACTCAGCAGCGAGTCACAGAGGGCCATTCTCTTTTGTCAAAATGGCAAGCCAGCCAGGACATTTAAAGATTCGTTGGCCTCAATAACTCCTTCGAATTGGCCTCAACAGCCAACATTCTGAAGGAGTACGACACCACTTTTCAAAGGTGAGCTTACCCTGCCATGCGAATTTTATGGATACAAAGATCACTCTGAGCAAGTAAGAAGCAAATAAAATTGTGATAAAATATATTATTTCTTATATTAAAGTCAGGTTTGCCGTGGCACATCAGGCAATTCCAGGGACTTCATGCTGCAATCTGGCTAGTTGTGATGACATCAGGTACCACAACGGTCACCAAATCTATCAAAATGACTGCTTGTGGGTTGGCAATGGAGCCACAGTGCATAGCAGTCGAGCGAGTTTCACGATTTCTCGCACAAGCACATGACGAGGAGCTCATATTGAGTTACGATGTCAGGGCACTGTAGATATGGAAACTAGCTTTTAAAATGATACTGTTATTACTTTTGCGGAGTGCACTCGCACTTTGCAGTACATTTTCTAGATCCTTGAAGGTTGGGCCTTTAATTTCACGTAAGAAAGTAAAAAAAAATTTGCAGTTAGTACCCCTTCATCATCCGGGGAGGTTAGAAAACAAGTGCTGCGCAAGTGAAGCAAGCTTAAGCAGTTGCAAAAGACAAATGATTTCTTGCATAGGCAACTAGGAGGACTGAGGTATTAAATAGAGAAGTTAGAAATGATGACAAGAAGAGAATGTGTCTCTGTATTATGTGCAGTCTTTTTACATACCACCTGTTAGCAACTTGTACGATAGGCCAAGGTTAGTCTGCATTGAAAGAAAAATGTGAACTAACTTTTGCAAGATCCCCAAAATTTCTGTATGTTTTTTTAACAATGCATAACAAATATGTGTCAATAGCATATCATTGTGCCATTTTGTTAGTTACACCTTTGAGTATAATTATGGTAATAATGTTAGCATGATCTGTACAAATCAAACATTACCTGTCAACCTGAGGTGTAATGATGTTTTCTTTTTTTTTATGGAGCCAAAACTAGGAGTGTTCCAAAGGGCCCAAGGAATTTCTCAGCAACGTGCAGCAAGCAGATTACAAACTGTTCATAAACTGATCATTCACAGCCCTGCAGCTAGTGTAGCATTTCCTGTCACGTGCACTCGGCACACAATCATAATTTATTTGCCTTGCGCGAACATGCATTCTCTGTGAAAGGGAATGCCAAAGAGGGTGCATTTTTAAGACTACGCGCAACTTAGCTGCAGCTGGTTATTCTCTTCATTCACAGGACATTTCTCAATTAATTACGTGTAAAGAATGCAAGCTCAAATCGCTAACGATTCCGGATTGCAGTTTTGATGTACACACTGCAGTTTTTCCCCCATACTAACTGCAGCGATTTGCAACATGATGCTTACACTGGGCACACGATCGTAAAGCTTTCCACATGCCTTCCCCAAAATACATAACAGCTCTGCGGTGAAGCCTCAAGTAACGCGTGCGTACTTTTTTAATTATTTTATAGCTTTCGACAAACACTTAAAGCTGTGGGTTGCAGTTTAATTTTCTTTTTGTTGTGCTTTAGTTTATTCCACTGAAGTTTATGCGCACTAAATGCACTGTGCAACAGCAGCAATAGTCGTGCTCGCGGTGGGTAGCGTAGTAACCGAAGCTGTGCCTGCCCGAGCATCGTTCGCGAACTTGAGCGCACCGACGGTCTCGTAAGCAAGCATCTTATGGCTCTGTTCGGAACTGCAAAAAAGAACTTACTGAGACCAGCATCTCGACGTCTTCTTAATCTTTACTGGATACGACGGTCCACTTCTTGGTGTCTCCTGCAGTCGTTGAAAGCGGACCATCACTTCCGGCGGCAGTGAAGTGGAGCTTCGGTAGAGGCACGCTCACAGCGTTTTTCGGCACACTTGAAGTTTCCGCGCGTCCCTCCGAATGTTCGGAAGGCGTTTTTCTCGCAGTGCATTGTGGGTGGGTCTATCCACTCGCCTTTGTGAACTCGCGTCCCGGGCTCCCGGCCGCGCCTTGAAAGGAGGCGTAATAGTATTTCATTTCGCCGCGGGGAAGCGCGCAAGTCGCCAGCGTGATCGGTCGAGAGCGCCCGCCAGCCGCTAGCGCGGCAATTTTAGTCGCTCTCTCGTGTGCTCGCAAGTCGCAACGTCTGCGCTTTGGACTTATTCGTAATCAATACGTGCAATGTGAGCATGCCACAGTAATGAGTAAACATCAAAGACACTGCTTTGCACCTGGATGCAATGGGGGATATGTTTCGGCCTGCAAACAAGGGAAGAAAGTGTCTCTCTTCTCTGCTCCCTTTGACGATGAACGGCGCAAGGCCTGGGAGCGTGCGATTCCTCACGCTGACAAACCGCTGGAGAAGAGCTGCGTTGTGTGCGAGGCTCATTTCGACGAAAGATTCATCGTCCGTAGCTACAAGCATGTTATTAACGGTGAGCTTGCGGAAATCCCCCGTGATCGTCCTACTCTGACAGCCGACGCGATCCCCACGATAGTTCCGAATGTGCCGGCTTACCTCTCGAAGTTGCCTGCAAAACGAGAGACGGTGTCGTCTAATGGAGGTGCGACTTCCAAGCGAAGAATGCTTGACTCCATTCACGAGGAACTACCTAGTGCTGAAACGAACGTTCCATCAAGTTCGAACTGCAATGGCGTGTGCAATATCTTAGAGGACATGGTGCAAGATGACCTTCCAAGTAAATACTGGGTGAAACACCTCATCCCGAACGACACGAGTGTTGTAGCATTCTCAGTGTGTGCGTCAAGATGTGGAACTCTCTGCTTTGAAAAGCTGCTTTTGTGTTCAGGTAATGCCTCGACTTTCCTTTGCACGGCTTATGTACATGGTGTTCTTGTGAAAACAGTGCATTTCAATAGTATTAGTGATGTTAAGGGCCTCCTGTTTGAAATGAATGGCATGCGTCGTTGCGAGGGGTTCGATATAGGAACAAGAATGCAAAGCGGGCAAATAAAAACCAAACACAGGCTCCATGGAGGAAAATTGCATAGCCTGAAGTGTTGTGGGACAGCCCAAAATAGAAGCCGATGCTTGCACTGCAAGTACCTTCGTAAGCTTTTGACAAATCAGGCGTACTATAAGGGCACAAAAGCGAGACAGGAAAGAGCTAACCTCACACAAAACCTGACGCGAAAAAATGCGCAGCTGCGACGGGAAAAGCACAGCATAGCAAAGTTGAGCGATACTTTAGAAAAGATGAAACAGCACAATGAAGCTATGAGCAAATCTAGCTTTGAAGAAAAGTTGCAAAGCCTACCAAAAAAGCAGAAAGTGCAAGTACGCGAATGCTTTGAAGCGTCGAAGAGGCGAAAGACAAATGAGATGAAAGTTCAGCAAGAGTGGATTCTTGAGTGCATTGTGATGCACATGAAGAGCACGCTTCTTTACGAGCACATTCGTAAGCATAAGATTATGGTTGTGCCGAGCCCTTCATGCCTGCGTACTTATGTCCATAAATATAAAAGCGTTTTAGGCTTTAACGAAGAAGTGCTCACTGCTATTGCAGAGAAAGCATGTACTATTGATTCGCATCACCGGCACGGTGGCATACTTGTTGATGAAATGAAATTGTCCGAAAGCTTGTCTGTAAGCAGCACAGGGAAAGTTTATGGTTTCGTTGACCTTGCAAAGTACATCCCACCTGCAGGACAAGAAAGTGCTCAATGTGACCATGGGCTTGTGATTTTGTTTCAGCCATTCACATGCAAATGGCAACAAATTCTTGGTGCATTTGGTGCGCGAAGCAATGTAAAGGCAGACGTTCTGGCCAAAATCATCGTTGATACTGTGATCTGTGCCGAGAAATCAGGGCTCTTTGTCGATTTTGTAACATGCGACGGGGCTGTGTGGAACCGCAGCATGTGGAAGATTTTCGGTGTAAGTGGGAAGCTCGAAAAAAAAAAACAGTGTGCAAAGTAAAGCACCCAGTGGATTCGAGCCGGTATCTGCATTTTTCATCGGATTTCCCACACATTGTTAAATGTGTCCGTAACGCAGTCTGTTCCAAAGGGCTTTTGACACCAGATGGTAGAGTTAACAACGAGTATGTAAATGGGGCCTTCAAATGCGACTCTGCAAGTTCAGTGACACTCAGGGCAATGCCGCACGTCACCATGGCTGTTTGCCAGCCTAATGGCTTTGAGGAACTGCGGTTCAACTTGGCATTAACCTTCTTCAATGATGAAGTTTTAATGGGCCTGTATGTCTACAACAGCCAAGTGGAACACTGCTATGGCACTGGTTCTACCAAGGCTACTTCCGCATTTGTAGCTATGATGAAAGACCTCATCGATGCCATGACATCAAGATACCCCAAGCGAGGTTTAACACCTGACAGTAAAGAAGTAGCAAGCATCAAATGCTTTTTTGAGTTTTTGGCAACTTGGGAAAAAGCTGTACCTAAGGAGGGTGGGTTCCTGAGTGAATCAACTGCCGAAGGACTCCGCGTCACTCTAACCAGCACCATTTCCATCCTGCACTATGCGACGAAAGCCTTGGGCTATAAATACTTGATGACGTCTCGCCTCTGCCAGGACGCGCTCGAAAATCTTTTTGGTATTCTGAGGCAAATGTCTGGCTCTAATGATCACCCTACGCCAACACAGTTTTTGATCTCTGTGAATTGCCTCAGTTTCTACAGTTTGGCAAAGTCTCCCTGCGGTGGAAACGTGCCTTCTGGAGTTCTGAACAGCCTTCTATGTTCAGGCATCCACAATAATTCAATAAAACTGCAGAGTAAGCTGGATGAGCTGCTAGATGTGGAGCGCCTCAATGAACTTCATGACATGATTGCTGCTTGTGAAGCCCTCCCTGACCACACTGATCTCACTGGACGTAAAAGTGACTCCCGGGTCACTTATTACGTCAGTAACTATGTGGCCCGGAAGATGGTGAAAAATACGAAGTGCAACGAATGTAGCAAATTGTTGATTCACTCTGGGAATTCCAGCTTGCTTCCGGCAGAACCATGCCTCACACGTTATATAGACAGAGGTGGCCTTCTGTATCCGTCCGAGTCCTTAAAAGACCTGGTCAAAGCGATGGAAGATGCATTCACTTATTGCTTCAGTTTCAACAAGTTGAAAAGTGTCAGCATAACAGACCTTATCTCTTGCCTGTCGGTGAAGAGGTTAAATACGGTTGGCTGTGAACGCCACAAACTGGAAATGACAAATCACGTAATTAAATTCTTTACACTAACGAGAATGCGTTTTCTCGTTGCTGGAAGAAATGCGTCCAACGAAAAAAAGAAGAGAGAAAAAAATGAAGTTCTTGAAGTTGAGACGTATGACTTAGCTATCATAATATTAACACAGCAAACAAGGTTTTATTTTATGTTATTGTGTACTACTCACACTGTGTTGTTTCTTGTGATTTTACTATTGTCTTGTTTACATTGTTACAAATCTTCTATTAACAAATGTGATGTCACTGTCTGGCTGTGTTTCACATATGCAGTAATCATTTTTTTCGTTAACTGGTTTGTGGCTGTATCTATGTTTGCCTATCAAACCTCAATGTCATGTTTGTGTGTATGTCCATTGTATCATCGTATATTTACTGTTCTTTTTAGTTGCCTTGTTCACTTGCTTTAGCTGGGTTTCGTATAACTTACAGTTTTATCCAACTTTAATGCATGTGTTGTTCTTTTTTTTTCATGTTGTTCACTTTCGTGAAAACAAATGTCTTGCTTCTAAAATTATACCTTGATTGCGCAAGTCATAGAAATAGCGGTTGCCGATTCCTTTACCTGCATTGAGACGTCACGGAGAACACTGTGGCATCAAAGTGAAAACTCCACCGATTTGCAAAAAAAAAAAAAACACTGCTGTGGGCGCGAGGAGGGTCTTCTCGAATGCGATCGCAGCGCCGCCGCATCCGGACGAATTCTCGCTCGCTCTCCGGAGCGCCGATGGCGACACCTTTCCTTCTAGCCACGATAGCGGCTTCACAACGAGTGTCGTCAGGGTAGAGTGTACTAGAAGGGTAAAGAAGGGTCATCAGTGTACAGTGACTACAGTGTACACTTCTAGTACACTCTAGTCAGAGCCTCTCCTACCTTTCCTTCCTCCGTGGATTCAAGGCACGGAGCCTAGAGTTTCCTAAAATACACTAGAGGGAACTCTGGCGCTAGCGTCTATGGGAGCTGCAACGCACGGCGCTTCAGTGGGCATGGGTATGATGGGTAGTACACACATTTGTCTAAACTTCGTACTTCTTGACTGCTTTTGGCTCCGTGTGTGTTCGTGTGGCTTGAAGCTGTTTTCTCACGAAACAAAAATCAGCAATTGCGCTTCACCACCCTTTTTTTTCAACTTACACGAAGTTTAAAAGGGTTGAATTTTTCTTTCAAAACAAAACCGAAACACAGCAATAAACGAAGCCGCAAGTACTATTCGCCACCCGCAAGTACGAAGACTAGGCAAATGTGTGTACTACCCATAATTCCCATGGTCACTGAACGATCGCAGCTCCAGAGTTCCCTCTAGTTGATTTTAGGAAACTCTATGGCACGGAGAAAGGAAAGGTAAGAGAAACCCTGACGTCACTCGTTGTGAAGCCGCGATACAGTGGCTAGAATTGAAAAGTGTGATGAACGCGCCGGCTTGCGCGTGACGCCTTGGGAGAACCCCGCCAGGTGGCACTGGCACACGTTGCACGTTTGCATGGCATGCAGTGCGTGTGGAGAGGAAGAAGAAACTGCCGAACACTTGATAATGTTTTGTAAAGGGCTTCACCCTCTGGTTCAGGTAGATGGCGCAGAGTTTTTCAAAGCACTGGGGTTTAGGGACAGTGAGGGAAAAATATACTTTAAGCGGGTAGAATTAACTAGAAGGAGGTTATCTGATTGGTGGCTAAAGTCAAGGCACGAGTGAAAATTGAACCCTTCGCTGCAAAGTACGAATCCTCAACCTCACTATTTAAGGAAAAAAAAATAAATCTAGTTTTTGGTTCATTAAGTATTACTGCTTGGTGGCGCTAGCCCCCGCCCGATCTAAAGGGTACAGCCATATCCATCCATTCATTCATCCATCCACGTCACCTAAGGTGGCATGCGCTGCGCAGAGACGAGAAACAACCACACGCGCGGGCAATGTGAAACATTTAAAATATATTTTGTTGCTCGTGCATGGCTTCAAATGGTGACCGATAAAATATGTTAATTAGGTTCGTGAAGAACAGGTTGCCTACGCGGGTGCATGACGGAACTGAAGGATCGACAGGGTGCTGAAAGTGAGCGATTGACGGCACTGAAACATTTTATCGATGTGAAGTGGTAGAAGAGTGGAACGATGAACTCCGTTGTGAGCCATTGCTTGCAACGCTTTTCACGGCGAACCATCATTTCATCAAGCACTAATCTGTAAATAAAGCTCCATCATTCGTAACGTCAAACTCAGAGACGAGCATCATGAGCGATATCTGAATGAAAACCTTTTATTTTCTGCACACAGGTCATATAACCCGTTTCCGAGTAGTGACTCACTATCTGTTTACAACAACGCATTATTCCTAATTGGTCGCGTGCCTTCTTTATCCCCAAGAAAAAAAAGCTTTATAGTTCACAAGCGCCCAACATAACATCGGGCTGCAAGCCTGAGTGACGCGCCTAGGCTTCAGGTACTTCCTCTATTCACGTGAAAGCACTCGCTCCTTGTGAAGTGCCTTATGTAAAAAAAAAAACGCAAATGGGTGAGCACAGAAAACTTGCTCACCTGATTGGTGAGGCTCAGACCATGTTGTGCGCAGCCCAGTGGGACGTTTTTTTTTCAAGCAGGAAACACGCTTTCAGGCTGTTCCTGTGAAGCTCGTTGTAGCTCTAAACCACATTGACTAAGTGGCGGGGACTTCTTTAGTTATCTGAAAGGGGGCGCAAAATCTGTCTCATACACTGATTTAATGGAGGAGGCGCCCTGCAATGAACCTTCGCTCCCCCCCCCCCCCTCCATAAATGGCAAGCACGCCTATGGGCCTGCTCCTTTGAATGCGGTTAATTTCACCATTCACAGTGTGCTTGAAGTGCTGGGAGATGTACATCTCGTCGAAGTGCAGCTCACACACAGCCGAGTTTTTTGTAAGGAGCTTGTCAGCTCGTGAGATCACTCTCCGCCACTGCGCAAACAGAGCTTCGTCCTTTGGAACGCTGAACAACGCATGTTTTTTTTTGTTTTTTTTTCCAGCCGACTTGTGGCTTTTAGTGCACCCGGGGACAAAGCAATGACTTTGTTTTCGCGCTATGATAGCGCATACAGAAGCATTGGTGTCAGACTGCCACCACTTTATATATATATATAAAAAAACGAGGACAAACGCGCCCGACGAAACTGTCGGAAACGTGCAAACAACGTATAAACGATTGCGCGCGTCCCTACGCGGCTCCTCCTCGGAGGCTTCAGTGCGCTCCGTAGGCGCCGCTTGCCGCTCATCACAGTTCCTTATTCTAGCCACTGTAGCCGCGATGAAGCCGGAAGTCGGCCATATTGACTGGGCAAATTCTCCTCTCTTGTTTACATCCGAATGTAAAGCAGAAGGCACGACTCTCTCTCCGGCTCGGAAAGAACGCGAGCTGGGCAGCGCGCGTGTCGTGACGATCCGAAACCAATGGAACGGGGCTCAACACTCTGGGCCAGCCCGACCCCTTCGGCGAAATCATCTCGTCCCAGTATTAACAGCGAGTAACAG